AGGCAGTATGACCTCTGAAACGTTGGTTAACATCTACCAGACTACACAGCGCAACAACCCAGAAGACAGAAATCTTCATACTCATCGCCCTGATGACGGAGGCAGTATGACCTCTGAAACGTTTGTAAACATCAACCAGACTACACAGCGCAACAACCCAGAAGACGGAAATCTTCATACTCATCGCTGTGAGAACCTCAAGTCTTACATAGAAGTGTTTTGTTACACAAAAGAATTGCATGTGGAAAGTTACTGACAAAAACTGTCTGAATTTATTTAAATTTCAGTGTTCTGTTTTTTTTTGTATATTTAATGGTTAAGAAAATACAGTTTCCTAAAACCCTCGGAGAAAATTTCTGAACACACTGTATTATTTCAACTACTTGCATCACCTAGTATCAATAATATTGAAGGTAATGGGGGAAGAATGATGTAATTAATTTAATAAATTACAGTGGGAGAGTTTTAAAATTACTCTTACCTGCTAAGTCACATCCATTCATCCATTACAATTTACAGATAAAATAAGGTAATGAACTGGTGCCTATTTGTTGGCTACTATAATAATTACAGAAGATAAATCATTTGAAATTCCATATTTTGAGAATTTACTGTTAACATAACATTTCTACAGAAGACGTATTTCACGTATATGCTACGTGACTTTCAAGGCATCACTGTCAAGTTCAAAATAAATTTCAAAATACTTAGCTTCAGAACACAATAACCCTGAAGTATTACTAAATTCACGATCGTCTATATAATCACAGAAGAGCAAATATAACACGACTCTTTTCCAAGGCTCAAAATTGGATAGCACGAAATTAAAATGACTTGCAAGATTACAAAATCTTCGTCAGAAATTACATACTACACAGTTAAATACAAATTAAGAAGGGAAAATTACATTTTCCAGGCTTTAATTCCTTTAAAATCAATATAAAAATAATAATATCATGATAAAGATTTTCCATATCAATTTCAAATTATTTTCAAACATATTGTACTAATGAATTTTTAGGTTTTAATTCCAGTTTTGTACGAATTTAAGTCAATATAAATTCTGTTTCTGTACATTTGCAATGCGACCATCACTTTTAAAAGAATATTTTCAATGAGATATAAATACCTATTGATTACGCTGATGAAAACAAATCCTTGTTTCACAGTCTTTTTATATGGCCACGTTAGACACACAATAATTAACAATACCCACAATGGCAGAAAATATAAAAAAACATTGGCATTCGTGATAGGCCACTTACCATACATATTCATCACGCCATGTGCTGTTAGCACATTCCTCAGTTTGCCGCTCTGTAACGTCAGATCTGAGAAGATAGCAAATGTGTGCGATTGATGGGTGAGAACATTGGAAACACACAAAATGGCATGCAAATCATGAAAAATCGGGTGCGTGGTACTGCGAAAAGCTTATTACCATCGAGACGTTCATTATCAGGTAGACACAGTTTGACCACTCGATTGGGAAAAAAGCACGGAACAGACAGATAAGCAAGGGGACGGTGCAAAGAGTTTAATAGCGAAAGAAGAGAGAGACGTGTAAGATACGAGGCGCGATCGGAAAGTTTCAAGACTGCGCGTATAAAAACCCGTACACTTATCTCAGGTATTAAATTCATCCATCACCCTCGAAGTAGTTCCCCTGGGAGTGAACACAACGACCCCAGCGCCGCTGCCAAGCCTGGAAGCATCCCTGGAAATCTTTCTTGGTCAGCCTGTCAAGCACCATCTGCGATTCTGCCTGAATCTCTTCTATCGTCTCAAATCTCATTCCCTTTAGCTGAATTTTCATCTTTGGGAAGAGGAAGAAGTCACACGGAGCTAAATCCGGCGAATAAGGAGGGTGCAGGATGACGGCCATGGTGTTTGAGGCCAAAAACTGCCGAACTGCTTCTGGTCCTCAGACAGGAGCCTTGGCACAAACTTGGCTGCGATGCGTCGCATGTGGAGTTCTTCCTTTAGAATCAGCGGACAGGTCCCATAGCCTATCCCAACAATGTCGCACAAGTCGTTGATGGTACGACGTCGATCTTCGTGAATGGCCTGCCGAATCTTCGTAACATTTTCGGGCGTTGTGCTCGAAGATGGTCGTCCAGAACGCTCGTCATCATCGACAGAGGTTCGGCCATTTTTAAAACGTGAATGCCACACAAAAGTTGGTGCACGACCCATTGCGGACTCCCCAAATGCTTGCTTTAGCATTTCACAGGTTTCCGTAGCCGTTTTGGCTTCGTATTTCTAACTCAGCAAAATGCACTCCAATATACTGTGGGATTAACTTGGCTGTCGGCTACACATTCAAGAGGTACGTTCATTGAATACCATTCTCATTTACTGCGTAACATTTCTTTGTTTGTGGATTGTTTGAAACTGAGTATACGTTTTTAATAGCGAGTAGTTATTAAGTAAGATTTAATTAATCAGAGTAAGAAAGAGAGGATCTGGGCTTGCAGAATTATGAGAAAACAATTTGAAAACACTGTAAAAAAATCCTAGGTAGTGGATAATATTAAAATGAATCTTTAATAGCAAAACTTTTATCTTTTCATTTCTATTGCGTTGCGATATCACTGATTTGTAATTAATTCTTTTATCAGATATTAATAATCATTTTGAGGAAAGAAGGAAACACATAAACCAGTAGAGTTCTATTAAATCACATGTCTGGAATAATAATAATTATTATATTATTATAATAATAATTATGTTAATGGCCACAAATTAACCTATAATCTTAAAAGGAAAATAATCAGCTCAATTATCTGTGATGCTCATTAAGGCTTTGACCGGGATGTTCTTTTGTTAAATCGTATGTGGTACCGCCTGATTCGACTTCTAATGGTTAAGTGAAGTGTTTTCTTAGCGGTACGGGCTGAATTCATAAATAATATTCAGACGATCTTCGGCTTCAAAGGGTTAATTGTGCAATGAAAGATGTCTCTTCTCTCTCTCCACAATTTAAAACCGCGGTGCGTAACACGAATACTACGTGAGTAACAACACATTTTAAGCAGAACATCAATACGTCTTGTACGAGGAACAGGTGACCAACATTAAACTGAATATAATTGCAATATTTAAAGGAAATCTGAAGGACACGTTTTAATATACACGTGAGCGTCCTTTTATAAAATTGACACAAGGTGTTTTATTTTTAATCCTTCAGTTTTCCTCGACAAAATTCTTCAGAATTCAGTGGAAATGTAGACTGCAAAAAAACCAAAACATGCTCAAGTCACTACCAGCTACTCAAGACTACAATTCGATCAAATGAGTAAGTTCAATCAACTTACGCAATCTTCTCGCTGGGAGATCGCCACGGCACGTCATCGTCCATTTCGTCTTCACTGTCGTCTCCGTCCTGCTGCTCGGCAGCGATGTTCAGGGTTGAACTTGTAAACATGTCAGGAACTGGCAGAATGCTGGGACGACGGCTACCTGTTTTATCGTAAAACAAGTTACATCTGAACCAAGCGCGTAATAGTAATTATATGTATCGGCCAGATGATATGACAGCTGTAAAATTGGCAATTTTTATATGATTCTAGATTTAATAATCATAATTAAGGAAAGAAGATAAAGTTCAAGGAATTAAAACGAGAAGCTGAGAATAGGGAAGACTGGAGAGCTCTTTTTGGGCAGAGCAATGGACCTGTCGTAAGACAGAACACTGAATAATAATAAGATGAGGTGGTCTAGCGGTTAGAACGCTGGCCTTGTAATCCTGGGG